ACAAAAGACGTGCGACCGTACAGTAGAAACGGTCGCACGTCTTCGTTCACACTGTTCGATTCTCGTACGATCGCGGGATTTCCCGCGATTCTCGTACGAGAATCGAGCAGTGTATGGGCACCTTAAGTGAGATGTGTGCCATGGTAAAAGATGGAGCCATCAGATTTTTATAAGTCTCACTACATGCAGATGTGCCATTAAGGTGAACCAGTGAAACATTTTCAAATAAAAATTGCTAACCAAAAGTAGTCACAGCAAGGTGTCCACTATTACCTTAACCGGCAGAAAAATCTTCACTGTTGACTCTAGTTTAACTAGTTTAACTTTGTTATGGGGTCATGACTTCCGTGACCCAGGACTAAGACTCAACAAATGTCATTATTCTGTCAATACCAGATTCTCTGTATCCAATAACTGCACTCTGATTGGAGAGGGTGCAGAAAGGTGGGCGGGGCTTTGCCTTTAAATCAGTATCCTAGTAACCAATAGATTCAGGAAAGGGGCCACGGAGGATGGGTTTCTATCCTAATTAAGTTACATATAGGCATATTGTGCTGTCTGCTCTTAGGCGGGTATTTTACACATTTCATTCGAATGACAGGTTTACTTTAACTTTCTGAGCTTTTTCTATTGCCAGTTAGAGGTTCCCTGTCTACCTATTGATATTTGCATTGGCTCCCCAACTCAGGGGATTTTCTCAGCCCTGCTCATTCGTACCCTACCTAGCTCCGTCAATGGTTTTGTATTTATTGGCAGAGTATACTTAAAGCCAAAGCTGGACAAATCCCAGGAGCCAGGTAGCCACTGCTCCTTAAAAATTACAGCTGGCGCCTAACTTTTAATGTCTTCACTACTTGTCAATGAAGCTGGCTCCAAAATAAATCCTGCTGGCTCCTGGATTGGGCAGTCTGGCTCTTGAATTCAATATTAATGTGTCCACCCCTGCCCAAACCTGATCAATCACAACACTTTTCAGGCCACTTTCTGTGCAAAACCCCTACCTTCTGCCTCTCTTTGGAGTGTTCATGATACTGGTGGCAACCCTGAAATCATTCCATTCTGTAATCCCAACAAATTCCAGAGCTTCTACAGCCACATCCACTGCAAGTCTCATTTCAATCAGTTCTACAAGTTCATTATAAAGACATATCAGGTCACTACACTGGATGACCTAAAATCTAAAGAAATGAACTCAAGCCTGCTTTATAGATTTAGCAGGAGTTCTGCTTTCATTTACTGTTGTCTGCTAATCAGAGAATTTGTAATTCTGTATTGGAATTCCACTCCCAAGGATTGGACTTCCACCCCGGCCCACTGCTCTTTTCCACCCCTAAGGACTGAAACTCCACCTTAAATCCTATTAAAGGAGTTGGAAGAAACACATAGATTTTCTTCTGAACTGGATTGGAACAGCAAGTTTGTAAACCCTCCCCCTACCACCATGTGGTTTGTGTGGTGAAAATTAAAAACAAAAACATTTTTCTCTGTTTTCCTACTAATTTCACCTACAGAGCTTTTCCTTCTGACCAATAATTCCTATGCAAGGCCCCTATTTAGCTGCCTTTCCCTCACTGGAACTGAAATCAGCTCAGCAAAGGAAAGGATAATAAATAATAACGAACGATAACGAATAATTCTTCTTATGCGAATGGAATGGTGGATTGTTGACAATGAAAAAAGTAGACTGAATCTTGTTATATGTAATGCAGACTGCACACTGGCAGTAAAGCCAAACTAACTGTATTTCACTTCTTTGGGAACCAATTAAACAATATTGTGCCCCAGCTGTCACTGGCCCAATCGACAGGCAACGCAAACTGGTTCCCACAGACTTTATAGATGGAATCTGGAGCCAGTAACACTCAGGATACTGTCTTATAATGTGGAGTCCAGCAAAATGCCAAATGCAACCAACACCTTGCAATAGAAAGGCAGTTAATATGTAAACTTGCCTCTTCTATAGACTGTGCCTGTGCCCTGGCATATTCTATGCTGGCTGACTGTGCAGCTCATGTATGAGCAGAGCAGGAGAATTTGAGAGCTGAATTTCTTCTCCTGGTTCAGACATACATACTAGTGATGACTGGTAGCAAAACACACAGGACATTTTTTTTTTAACTCTTTCACATGCACCCAGCCGTTATACAGCTCACAACGGTCCCACTCTTCTTGCTCTATCACCAAAATCAGAAGGAAATTGTAAGTCAATGGAGGGTCTGTTGACTTGCAATTGTACCTTTTAATTTCCTTCTGATCCATTGCGTTGCTATACATTTTTCAATGGATGCTAATGGAAGGACACTGAAAAATTAATGGGTGTGAATGGGGCTAGTTCAAACTGCATGTTTTACTTTTTTTCAACGCAACATAACGCAACGGAATGGAGCAGTGTGAACTAGCCCCATTCATTTTTCAGTGCCCTTCTGTTAGCAACCTTTGAAAAACGTATAACGCAACGGATCCGGTGTGAATGGGCCCTAAGTCTGATGTATAGATCTGTAACCACCTACCAAAATGTGCTTACAATGCGACAGTGAGTGACATTTTCATTCTAATGTATATAACGATAGAAGATTTAATGCAATTGTATAATGTTTTTTAACATATGCAGCCATTTTTCACACAGACTGACTAAGTCAATAAATGCTGGTAGTTACAGATTACTGCACTTTTTTTGATGGGCATTCTCCTTTAATAAGAAGAGAGCACAGAGCAGGTTGGATGATGCGCCTGGCCCCTCTTCTTCTTCCCATGCGTCATGTCTGGTCATGCAGCAACCTCTCGTCACCCTACTTTCCCCCTCCCCTTTGCGTGTGCAGGGACGTGTTTCCTCAAGGTCGCAATCTATTGTGGCTGACAGGCATCGAAGAGGGCAAAACCGGCGCTCGCTAGCAACGTCTTCATCCCATTTGTGGTCCGTTCCTATGGTAACGCCATACAGCAGCTCACACAAGAGGTGGCCCAGCATCCCCAGCAAACAATCCATAACATCCTGCCAGGGACTAACGATACTTTTATGCTAGTGCCCATTCTAAGGATCATTTCTACGTCCCGCTAATGACTTCTGATACTCAAGATTCCTCCTACAAAAAGATGTTTTTTTTTTCTTTCTTTTAGCATGAAATGAGTAAATCAGAAATCCAATCCAGATAATACTCACCACTAAGCAAACATACTATCAGCTTATGTGCAAACAGTCCTTTCCTTTTTTTTACTGTGAACTGCAGCAGTGCTTGTCATTCCTCACTCCAGATCTGCAGAAGTGTGTTTAGCATGTTCCTTGGTTCAAACTCTGTCCTTTGAGCCCAGCTCAACTCTATCCATGCTGGGTCATACAGGAGAGCAACAAGAGGCTGCAGTCTTCTTTAGAAACACTCTAAAAAGCCTGCTGAATTAAACTGCCATGGATTATATAAATCTAAAAACGGAGTAGACTTTCTGACTTTAGCACAGTTGCAAGGACAGAAGAGAACTTTGGTCTTCTGAGTCATAAAGCAAGTACTCAGCAATGACCCGTCAGCACAGTGTCCCTGGATATTTTTGGGTAAAAGCAACATGATAAAAGGGATGTAAAAAGCGTGTGCAACACCCCAAAAAAACAGAGACTTTATTGTAAAGTAACTGAACATTCAAAATCAGGGACATTTTCAGGGATGGTTCACTGGGGACTTTGGTACTCTTTCTCTGATACTGAAGAGAATTGCAGCAGAGAGACAAGCCTTGGCGGTGAAGTCCATGCAGGAAATAAGGATGGAGGTAAACTGGTCATGTGATTGCGGGCCCTTGTCTCAGGCTGTCAAAGTGTGAGTGTTGTGATCACAGTCAGAGGACAGTGACTATTAGCAGAACAATTTCCCACAGACTTCCACACCTATCCTAAAATCCCACTCACATCCTGAGCAAACGGTCAAACTGCCGCCATGAACAGTGTGTCACACAAGAGATCCTCTTCACAACTAGCTGCTAAATACCTAACAAGACGGCAACAAAGGATGTAAAGCACTCTATATCCTACCACACAGGGGGCTGAATTCTGCATGCCTGGTGAGCCTTACTGGCATTTGTGGTTCCACAGGTCAGCTTCTACCTGGTAATGCAACAAATTAAAACGGTCTCTAGGCCGGCCTTGGACTCTGGGACTTGTAGTTCCACAGGCTTCCGAAAACTACAAGCTGTTTATCTAATGCAAGAAGCAACCCGCTCCCTGGGATTCTGTAGCCTGCGCAGACTGCTACAAAACCATTTCCAAGGACGCTGCAGCTATGCTAATATAAATAGCCACCTATGGATAACACTGCACTGTCATTTTTCTGCATAGTAAATGCTGATTGTCAGTGAAGAACTTGAAAGACCCTAATTGTCCTTACTAGGTGACAAAGAACAAAAGAGTGATTCATGTAGAAAAGGAGACTTTACTGGTGCAAGTGAATACCAGGAACATTTCCAAGGACAGATCTCCAAAACTCCGGAATGTCCCGAGAATTCACAGACAACTGGCCGGACCAATGGCAATGTTTGACATTACTTGCCAGAGCTCTTACCACATATGTACTTTGGACAAATCCCAGGAGACAGGTAGCCAATGCTCCTTAAAATGTACACCTGACACCTAACTTTTGGCACCTTCTCTTTTTGGTGTCAATGGAGCTGGCTCCTGAATTGGATAAACTGGCTCCTAAATTCCATCTAAATTTGCCCACCCCTGGTGTAAACTATAATACACACTAGAATATCAGGTTGATCATAAAATACATTTCATATCTTCAAAATACCCCCCCAAGACAATATCAGTGGGTGGTAAGATTTGAAGATAACAATAGCAGAAGCACAGAAGATACACTGTAGAATTGACATGGAGCAGACTGAGACTGTCCCTGAAAATTCAGAAGACTTGGAAACTATTCTAGTGTAAGAGCTGACTTTCTGGTCAGATGGATAAAGCGGACAAGTCTGACTGGTGATTATCGAGCTGTGAAATCCTGAGCAAGAGCAAGACTTACCCAGGATCCTCCAGGGGTGCAGGCAGGGAGCCAAAGAGGACAGCTCTGTGAGCGGAGCAGGAGGGGTTCCCTGCAGCTGTAGGAGCCCAGTGCAGCTAGAAGGGGTTAAAGTCAGCAGCTGACGGCTGTACAAAGACTGTAGGTCTTCCTGCATCTGTGACAGAAGAGGCAGAAAGTTCCAGCCCAGCCCCAACATGGCACCTCCCCTCTCTCCAACATCTGCAGATAAGAACTCCCAGCCTGCTAACCCTTTCCCTGCCACAGCCTCCCCGACTACTTACATGGCTGGCAACATTTAAAGAGAATGCTATCACTCAGGAACAAACATGGACAGGAAATATTCCCAGAGGTAAACGAAAGGGGGGAAATGCATTGGTGAGGTTACATTGTTGCCGACTGTTCTGAAGACAGCTCCAGGTGCTGAAGATCTGTCCTTGGAAATGTCC